GGGTGCACGTTAGAGACACCCCAGGTGGTCGAAATTTCCGGAGCCCTCCACTATACGGTGTCTCTCATAATAATCTGGTAGTTTTGGGACGTTAAACGCGTTTCTCATAATCATATGGTGGTTTTTGGGACGTTGAACCCCACATATCAATCATGGGACGTTAAACCCCCCACAAGTCAATCAAATCAATCTCCTGCTCCTTCCTACAGCTGCTGCCTGCAGTTACTCCACGATACACGCTTTTAAATCGCCGTGTGCAGCGACTATAGCGTCGCGCTCCTGAGTGTAGAGTACGCGGACGGGTTCGATTAGCGCGGCTACGCCAGCGTCGATTTACGGCGCTGCGATTCGACAAACCTCCGCGTTACGTTGGTGCACGCAATAAACTAACTGCGCTGCATGAATACTCTTCGTGATCGTGTGACAACGAGGAAACTTTTACGTAACTCCGTAGTTGACTACGTAACCAAAAAGAAAAAGGTCAACCAGTTACACGCCGTGAAAACTGTAGCGCAGCGAAGCAATAATGCTGATTATGATTTCCGGTAAAAAAAAAAAAAAACGTAAAGGTCATCATTTCGTTTTGAATCTTTACTACTGTCCGCTCTGGTCACAAGACACGTGTGACGCCTATACTACTATACTGCTACTACTAATACTAAGCTACTACTAAGACTACTACTAAGGCTGTAGTAACAGTACACTAGTGTAGTGATCCTAGTTCACTATAACACTACTATGGCTGTCAGCAAGGGGGGCACGAAAGGCGGCAATATCTTTCCACGCAAAGCAACATCAACGCGCCCCATTCCCCCCCCCCCCCCCCCCGCGATGAAACACGTGCGTTTGCACCCCCACCACCCCGAGACGTGATCCTGCCGACGACGTCCGCAACGACTACTGCTGCTGCTGCTGCTACAACTTACTACTATGACGACAACGACGACGGCACAGGGTAGACTAATCCCCGTATTCTATAGAACCTCCCTTCACCCAACGCTTCGCCTTCACTTGAGAAAGCCGATAGGAGCGCCATCTTTAAGCACGGCAAATCACTGCATATCAGCGATAGTCTGCTGCGATTCTTTCGTAGCGCAGCGTCATTTTCAGCCGAGTGGTGGCGCAGTGCTCAACTCTGTCAAGTGAAGGGTGAAAGTCGAGCCGAGGAGCGTTTGTGAATACGGGGGTCAATGAAAAAAAAAAAAAACAACAGCGCGCGATGCTTTTTATCGTTTAGACATTCCCTTGGCGGTTTTCACAGAACTGGTTGTCGTAATAAAAAAAAAAGTAGGCAACCACTCACAGAGCCCCCCCCCCCCCCTTTTTATTATTTTTTCCCACTAATTTTTTTTTGAGATTTTTCGGAAGAAAGATGGGGACAAAGATGCGACGACAACGTTCTCGTCACGCGTTCCTGAGACTGCACAGGCAGCGCAGAACGAATGGCACGTCGGGCAGTCCGCGGTTCTTTTCCTCCACGACGCGAGCAGGTACGTCGGCGCCCCAGCTATCCGACATCCTCCTACTTTATCGCGCCGTGGCACAAACGCTGCGACGGATCACAATCTCAATAATTTGAGCAATGCCTCCTCTAGGAAGATGCCTGCCGCATGAGAAAAAAAAAACAGCTGCCACACCCTTTCTCTCCTTCATTTTCAAAATGTTCACGGTCGCTAGCGTCACTTGTGGCGGACGGTGCAACAACGCAACACTTTGCATGGCCTCCGAAACAGTGATGCACAGCTGCAGGTCTCGAACAACTCTCGACTGACGCGCCCCTAAGGGCCGCAGATGAAAAACGCTCAGCTGGTACCACCCGTCGCCGTGATGATAGTGTCGGTCGCGAGCGCCACCGCGCAGAGCTTATTTAAAACTGAAGGCAGGCCAACTCCGCTGGGAGCGCGAGCCATTCCTCAGGCATCTTTGTAGAGGATGCGTTGATCTGAGGCACGCCGAGTGGACGTTTCGTTGCGCTGCCCTACAGCAGAGTTCTCTTTCTTTTTTTTTTCTTTCTTCGGCTCTCGAATACAGAAACGCAGAGTAAGACATAGAACGCGACCGTCAAAAGGTACTTTGTTCGGCTGCTGCATTTGCGATGGGGGCGAAAATGTTGTACGCCCGTGTGCTCAGATACGGGTGCACGTTAACGAACCCCAGGTGGTCGAAATTTCCGGAGCCCTCCACTATATACGGCGTCTCTCATAATCATATGCTGGTTTTTGGGACGTTGAACCCCGCATACCAATCATATCAAAGGGTACTTTGTTATTCGAGAGGGACGATTTGTAGCCCTATACGCGTGTCACCCGTAATAAGGAAAACGACACACGAGCACGGCACGCATGTCTGATATAAACGTCGTCATGTAGGTCAAGTATACAGCGTCGCGCGTGCCTGCTTCGGCAATTAGAGCAAGAACGGAACCAGCTGCGACGGAGCGAAATTGTCTGCCCGGCCTTTTTGTTGTTGTTGTTTTTTTTTCTTTCCGAGATGAAATTGGGCGTATTAAATCTCAATGCCGGAGGCTGCGTTTTACGAGTTCGGTGTAGGGGAAACCGCTTGGGCTTAAAGCGTTCTCAATAAGCCAGTGCCAACAACAGGTAAGATACATGCAGTCAGCGTCAGAAGTTTAAAAACCACCGGACAAAAAAAAAAAAAAAAAAAAGCTGGATATTCGCGCTGATACGAAGTAAGCGTCTAGTTTACTTTTCTGGACCGTTCTAAAACGCGCTAAGGATAAGTACCGTGTTCTTCCATCGAATATGGTCTTAGATTGTTGAGAAATTACAAATTTTCTTGGACCTAGCGGTTTCTAAAGTTTGCGTGCCGACTGCAAGACAGTGCAAAGGAATGATGCTTGTTATGACTCGGGAGGGAAACTAACTCGAACCGACCGTGCAGTACCAATGTGAAGGAAAATTGCCATGTCGATGCTTGCGCAACAGTTGAAAGGCTGCGCCGGCTGCGGGGCGTGTCAAGGCTCCAGTTTAATGAAAACAAATATGTCTCGAGGGGAGCTAGCAAGATATAACAGCGTAATAACTTTGAGCGATGAATGCCCGAAATAATTAACATTAACAAAAAAGAGGGGGGGAGGGGTGGTTGTGTACGAACGACGCGAGGAGATCAGGTCGCAGCTTAACATTGAATTTCTGCAGAATTGGAAATGGCTAATCTGTTGCATTACGCGTTTTGAGTGACCTGTATAGCTATCTGCGACTCGCTGCGCTGCATGTATCAGAACCCAAAACGGAGAAAATGGGGACGCCCTATGGCCTCGTTTCGTCGTTCTGATAGGTCCGTCACCATTGCAACAGCAAGGAGTTGCAGTGCGGCCTTGCATATTCGCAGTACTTCTCATAAAGCTTTTAATAAAAACGCCCCGCCGCGGTGGTCTAGTGGCTAAGGTACTCGGCTCCTGACCCGCAGGTCGCGGGATCAAATCCCGGCTGCGGCTGCTGCATTTCCGATGGAGGCGGAAATGTTGTAGGCCCGTGTGCTCAAATTTGGGTGCACGTTAAAGAACCCCAGGTGGTCGAAATTTCCGGAGCCCTCCACTACGGCGACTCTCGTAATCATAAGGTGGTTTTGGGACGTTAAACCCCACATATCTATCAATCAAACTTTCAATAAAAACAAAATGCAGTAATCACGTGGCATCAGTTCAGTAAGTACCCCACCCCCCTCGTGGTTGTATTTTTCAACTACGGCAGACCCTCGCTTTCTCCCAGAGTCTAAGCGCTGAGCATCTGCAAGTAAGAAGACATCAGCGAGGTCAAAAATTCAAAAAGCGATAAAAAATTAAAAATAGAACCAGGAATGAGTGGAAGATTGACACTTCTTGCGATGAGGAATCCGCGAACAGGAGGTGTCTGCCGGAATGCGACGCCTCGACAAGCGAACTTCAAGATTCCGACTGTCATTTGAAGCCTTGAAGACAAGTACGCTTGACACATCGGCTCCAACACCCACACCGTTTACAAGGAAGGAAGGAAAATAGAGGGAAAAGAAAGGCAGGGAGGTTAACTAGCCTATAGGCAGCCGGTTTGCTACCCTGCGCATGGGAGAGGGATGGGGGAGATGAAAAAGAGTTTACAAACTTCTCATAAAAGTAATAGTAACAACACATAGCTGAACAAATCACTGCAGTTGTCAGCACAAAAGACTGATTCCGCTAACAGCTCCTTTGTTACGGTCATTCGTATAGGGTGGGGGGGGGGGGGGGGGGCTTAGCCAGAATTTTTTTGTGTGTGTATGTTGTGTGGGGGGAGGTCTGACGCAATGGCGTGAGTTCCACAAAACAACCCCGCCCCCTTCCATTCACCGTGGATGCTGCCGCCGAGTCGCTTATATGGATTTTGCGTTTCGCTGTTTCAGGTAACGGCAAACAGCTTTCTGCCTTGCTGCAGCTCAAGCAAGTTCTTGAACGGAAGCGCGAGTGTGATAGATGCACCCAGCCATTTCTCGAAAACAACAACAACAACAAAAAAGAAATACGGCAGCAGCGACGTTACTTCGGCGAACAAGGGGAATCGACCCCGAGCACCAACCGTTGCAACACTTCCGCAAAGCGCCACCCAGATGCAATCCACTCGCCTCTTGTCCTCAACAACGTTCCGGGGTTACGTCACTTGGTTACGTAGTACGCGAAGGAAAGAAGCACACCGCTTGAAACACAAAGAAAGAAGAAAGCGCGCCACCTGTGAAACATCAGTCCAGCTGAAGCCAATGGGGCGGGGAGGGGCGCAGAGGATGAATAGGTGCGTTGCGCAAGCGCCTTACCACGTGTATCTCCGCGTCTCTTCGAAACAGGCGACTCGCGCACGCACACCCTCTCCCATTATTCGTACGGACATGTACATCTGGTGGTGGGAGTGGCAGGTGGCAACAACGCGACACGCGCGTCACCAGGCACGTCTCGGTGCAAGCGGCGCATGTATTGAAGCCAAAGAAACTTTCAAGTATCGTAAGTCGGGCACAGAAGCAACGTAAGATCGTACCTGCATCCAACTCGGGCGTTCCCTCGCGGAACCAGTTCAACATCTTCCTCCGAGATCGCGATCAGTTTTTTTGGAGAAGAGTGTGCGACGAGCACGGTCCACCTGCTGTAGGAGACCAACTTGGGTGACGGTCCCGAACGGCACTGAGTGACCACAAAGTGACAGGCGATCCTGTTGGCGCTACAAGGCCCGCCACCACTGAGATGTCCGGAGTATGGGTCTCACACACACACACGAACGATCACAAAAGCACGCAGAGTCGCGATAACGTCGTAGGAACGCATTCTCTGCCCAGGAGGTTCTTCTCTTTCTTTCTTTTTTTCCTTATTCCGCTCGACGCTCGGAACCGGAGGTGTCGGTGGCGCTAACGCGCCTCTGTCGCTTACAGTCGCTGGGCCGGTTTTAGCTTACCGAGTGACGCGAAAACGGCGCCAGTGCGAAGTAGCGCGCTCACTTGAAATGCGGGCCAACCCAACCGCGCAGTAGTTGGCGCGCGTCGGTTGTGGGGGTAGAAGCGAGAGAGGGAGCGAGCATAAACGAGAGAAAGTCTACCAACATAAAAGAAACTGGACCAAAGGTGGCGCCATCTCGCGGCTGCGTTGTGCAACAAAAGAAGGGAGAGAGGAGAGGATGAAACTTATGGGTGGTGGAGAAAAGAAGAACGGCTATCTCGCATCACAACACAGAGATGAAAGAAACCGCCGAACACGCGTGGAGAAGGGGGTAGAGAGGAAGTCTAGGTGGCGTTGCTTGTTCTCACACGTAGGAGAGAGAAAGAGAGGGTGAGGATCCAGCTGTTCTCGTTCCGAGGACGACAAGCCGAATCGACGTTGGCGAGAGATGGGGGTGACCATGATAGGTTTAGCTACAAAAGACTGCCCTTTCAGAAGCCGGTCGAGCGACACAAGAGCCACTCGGTGGAGAAGGATGGATCAGATTTGAAGAAGAAATCAGTGGGTACAGCGCGAGAGGGCGCAGGAGTGCGATTCGCTGGAGGAAAGAACCTAAAAGAGAGCGGAGGAGAGAGGAAAATATGAATTAAAGAGAGAGAGAAGTAGTCAGTCGAAAGCGAAGTCGGCGCCGTCCCGACTGTACGACAGAGACGACGCCAAGGCCAAAGCTAGAGGGTGTGCTCGGCGTATGTGCGTGCGTGCGCGAGGATGTGTCTTCGTCTACGTCGTCGGCGCGGTACGCGTAGCTACCGAGGAAACAAAATTTCGGCCCACTTTCCCCGCGCTTATTACGCGTTTCGTTTTGTTGTGGGTCCATTTTTAAAGACGCATCTGCCTCGCGTTTGGCTTATTTTCGGAAAAGAACGGCGCCGCGACGCTTCGCGCGGAACGGAAGAGCATCACACATTACTAACTGTCGCCAAAAGGAGTTGGTCTTGTTGGCTCCTTCATACGATGTTTACAATGCCACTATAACAGAGTTGATGGGTCAACATCGTAAATATATTGACCTGAAAGAGAGAACGATAAAATCATGCGCTGCGGAATAACATCCAAGCCACAGGAGCCCTAAAGGGAGTATTATTAGTAGGCACGGAGTAGAACTGCATATGTTATGCCTTCGTGCGGCGCTCGTTAAGGTATTTTCGTGGCACTCGTTAAGGTATACTGAACCAAATTGGTTGACTAAGTAAACCGTTTATTTAAAAAGAAGTGTAATGGCTGCTTTATGGCCAAGTGTGTTTCGCTTATTTTAAGAGGGTATTCCAAAACGACTGATCTCATTTTTTGTGTGGTGACGTGTACGCTAGCAATATTTTAGTAACAGCGCACGAGCGTTGACCCTTGGAGGCGCAAGTAGCGAGGTCGCAGAGAGTGCAAGCGCAGTCTGCAACATAGATATTCTGAGTGGCTTTCAAAGAACTAGAAATGAAGAAACGAGTGCGGCGGCGGAACTGTCTCTCTCAATGGAGGTCGCCTCTACGACGCCGCACGGGAGAGGGCAAGTGGGGGTGAGAAGGAATCAAATGTGGCAGAGAAGAGAAGAAAGAGGAACAGAAGAGAGGTATGTTCATCAAGATCATCAGCCCGGCTGTACGTTTACTGCAGGGCAAGGGCCTCATCCCACGTTCCGCCACTCAACTCGGTCCTGTACTTGCTGCTGCCGCTTTAAGAGGCGTAACATAAGAGATTCCCCAACAATACACTATAGTCGGATACAACCTTATAATTCTACGCCATTTCTTCCTCAAAGGCGGCTGTATAAAAGCCTGCCCCAATCAGCGAGCACTATGGACTGACGTCATGAAAAAGGCGGCCTTCGTAGAACAGTGCCGCGAGCGTAAGCGAGACTACTACTTCGGTCGCGGAGGCGATTAGCTGGCACTCTTCACTATTCTGGGCAGAGCCTCTTGGGAATTTTAAAGTTTTATCTGACTATACAGAGGGAAATCTGGTGCTATGCACACTCAGACCTCATTATAACAAAGTTGCATCTTACAAAAATTAAGTTCGTTATATCCGAAAACTTGTTATAAATGATTATTTCTAACTGTATTGCACGAACGCTTTTCGTTTACTTCGTTGTAGCCGATATTTCGTCATATCCGGGTTTGTTACGTGGAAGTTTATGTGTAGTGTCTATGAGAGTTACAACGCGCGGCACTTCAGCCAGGAATGCAGCATGCTGGTAATACCGGATGTAGGGCGGCTACAGAATTCAAGCTTGGTGGTGGCTAGAATTATAGCCCTCTATAGCCACCCAATAGCGGATGGCTAGGACATGGTGCTTCAATTTTTTTCGCGCACCTCATCTGGATGGATATGGATTTTTCTAAGCTTCGTTCCTTCGGCTACCTTTGGTTCCGTGCTGTCTGCAGCCATGCCGGACGACGAAGTTCCGCACACGTTCAACCTGGAGCTTTTAATGCTCACACATGAAATTGGGTAACGAAGTTCACAATGACCAGCTCTTTTATATAAAACAAAAACATTAAAACAAAACAACGATACAAATCCACGAGGGTGTTCGAAGCCGAAAGCCCGAAGATTAAGCATATTCATGTAAAATTCCCATCGTAGCTGAAGAATCGCTGTGCCAGTGTTACTTCTGGTAAATGATATAGAAAACTATTGTCTGCTACGCAGTTTGCTTGGAGATGCATAGCGCCTCAACAGTACGATAATGTGTTCAAAAAGCCGGTATGACGCTGATCGCCGCATACCGCTGACCTCGCTGCAATTAAGCGACAGTATACAACCACCGCGTCGTTTGCTCGATGCCGCGTGGTGATTTGTTCCTGGCGTTTAACAAGCTTCCCAACCAAACAAGACGCCAGTATTCCCAAACCAATTTCAGTTGTGTCTTGCCCTGCTTTCTGTTTTTAAGCACTTAACGTGCGTTAAGGGCACAAAAACGATGAAGAAACCGACAGATAAGGCTAAGATCGGTTCGTAAACAAAAGCTTGAGGTGTTCTACCTTATGCGTCGCAGATATAAGCGTTTTCCCCCCTCACACATGCACTTCAGCGAGAAGGACAGCGATTATCCGCCTGCCTGTGAATGCCGCGAAAACACGGAGGTGGCAGTATACGAGTTCTCGTATGTCAGCAGTATAGACGGCAAGAGGGATTATCCAGATTACGAAGCCATATTTGGGCGATGCCGTTGAGCACCAACAGAGGCAAAACCCTCGAACGTGTTGCACGTTGTTTTTTTTTTTCGACGAAGGAGGCGGCGTTACGTGCGAGTGAATAAATAGCGCGGGAAACAACGACTGCAGAGAGGCTTTCTTCCGTACCCCATTGACTATTTTGCGGAGGGGTTGCAGTGTCGCCGTATTGGGATTACTGTTTGTGTTTTGCATCTTTAGCAACTAAACAAACAGTGCTAGTAGGGTAGGGCGCATAATCACGCATTGAAAGTGGTAGGGTTGGCGCATTCGATGTTTCGTGCCGTTATTAATTCACGTTGCGAAATGCGAAGGTACGAAAACATTGGCTTAGCAGTCCAATATGGCGGCGCCCAGGTGTCTTAGGTGAAATAGACTGTATAAAGCACGGAGGAAGGAAAGGTAAGGAGAGGGCATGCCCAGCCGGCGCAGGGCGTAAAAAATATGGCGGAAATGACATCATGGCGGCCATGTTCACTAGGCACAATGGCGGCGTTGCTATGGTTACGTGTTGCACAATGGAGATGGTCTAGCAGTGAGCGGCCGCGGCTAGCGGCGGAATGTGTGCCTACCAAGGTCTCGTGATGAGCCGTGGCGGACAATATCTGTGCTCTGCGCCGCGTTATTGGTTACGCAGTGTTCTCCTGGCTGTTACATTACTCTTAGCAACGTTTACAAACCCCTTTGTCCATCACGGGGTTTCAACAGTGCGTAAAACAAGTGCATATCCATGTGTCGTGCGGCGGATGACGCGGATAAAGCAGTTAGTGTTCAGCGAAATGGCGTTGGGCACCATGATGAAGCTGAATGACGACGAACGCCTTGCAGGTCAGTGACGGTTGAGCAGTGCTCCTGCTTGTGACAACGGACGACGCTGTTGAGCCCAGCAAGACGCCGTGAGGACCATGTGCACATACGTAGTTTCGTGTTGTGTGTGTACAGTAACAACTTGCATGTGCGTATTAAAACACCTTTTCTGTTTCGCTTGGTACACTCTCTACCAGCATGGCATGTAATCTCAACATAACAGCAACCACGTTCAACTGTCACTAGCACCGTGCTCAAAGTCACCACGTTCGCAGAATGCTGACGCCGGTGAGTTTCACGCAAAACACGGACACAGTGGCCGGACACTGCGTCGGCCGCGTGGAGGAATGCAACAGTAGAAGGCGCACGACCGATCGTGTTGTCTGTACAGTTGCTGAATTAATGACGTCAAAGCACTCGCCGTTGTCAGTGCATCTAGCGCGCGTTCTCTCGTAGTTGCTTCATTGTCGGCGAGCTGTTACTCCCTGTTATTACTCGGACGAAGCGATTTCGCTGAAGGTGTCCCGCTGGCTCAGAGTGATGAGCCCCGTTTCATTAGTTTCGGATCGTCACGACACACGCGCTGCGCAGCCCACGTGCTTTCCGAGCCGGAGAGGGTGTCGCGCCTTCTGCTTCGCATTCATATGTAAACAAGAGAGGAGAATTTGCCTAGTCAATATGGCCAACTTCCGGCTTTATCGCGGCTTCACAACGAGTGACGTCAGGGTCTCTCCTTACCTTTCCTTCCTCCGTGGTATAAAGAGAGAGCGCAATGATAGGCGTGCGCACGGTTCCTAACACAGGGGGAGAGGGAGGGTCGCACTCCCTTTACCTTTTAAATGTCATCGCACCCCTCTTTCCCCTCCCCATTGGTGGAGCGCGAAACACGTTTCACAATATACGAAAAACACACACAATCACACATTAAATTAAAGCGACTACGTTCATCCACAAATGGCCCGCCTTTGGTCCTTGGCTTTGCAGGAGTAAAAGATGGAAAGAAAGCACTTCTT